TCTCAAGCGTCAGGTGGCTCACGGGACCACGCGCGCGGAGGCTCTGCGCCTGGCAGAAGGGAGCGGGCTCATTCCAGCACAGGGCGCGAGGCGGAGGGGCGGGGAAAAAAAGGGAGAGGGAGAGAGAGAGATGAGGCGCCGGGTCCCAAAAGAAACCGGAGTTGTCCTGGCAACCCCGTGGGAACGCCAGCCCAGAAGTGGCGCCTCGCCCCCCAGAGCCTGGGAAGGGTGGCCTTCCTGGACTGCAATTCCGAGGGACTCCCCCCCCCCTGGTGCCCACCTGGGGATTCGGACAGTTGCAGTCCAGAGTTCCGTGCCTTGTGAGATCAGAGCCAATTGAAACAAAGCAAAACAAAAAAAATGCTGTTCCGGCATCCCGGCAATAATCATATAACATGCGTGGAGTATGTGTGCGCCCCTCCAGAAGAAGTTTCACCAGATTCTCATCAGCCTCAGCCAGTATGATCAATGATCAGGGACGATGGGTCTTGTTGTCCACCATCTGGAGGCCCACAGATCCCCTATCCCCCATATGTTATATGCTGTCAAGTTGAAATCGACTTGCAGCAAGCCTAATAGGGTTTTCAAGGTGAGTTGAGTGGTTTTACCAGTTCTTGCCCCCCCCCCCCGAGAATTTCTATGGCAGAACCAAACCCAGATTTCTTGAGTCCTAGTCCACTACTCTATCCATTACACTCCACAGGGTGCCTCATCCCTGATATGCAGAGGTCTTTATCCTCAGTATCTGGAAAGTGCTGTTCTCCTTCTGAACATGGAAGTTCTGCTGTGCTTTATTGTGGCCAGTATCCATGGTTCATCTGTGAATGTGTCTACAGCTATAGTTCTCTGCACATGTTCTTTAGATTGGGTTGCTGATGTCAATGAGACTTATTTCTGACTTATTTGTCCTGGGCTGAAATTCAGTCACCACCATCATTATGAGGTTGGGAGTCCAATTCCCCACTGTGCCACCTTGACAGGCGCTGGACTTGATGATCCATTGGGTCCCTTTCAGGTCTGCAGTTCTAAGATTATATTATATTATACTATATTATATTATAATCCTAGGCAAAGGGGGAAGGAAGATAACAGTATTCACTCAAAGTGTTAAGAGAGAGGAATGTAAACTACTGCCATAAAACTGTTCTGCAGACTTCATTAGTTAGTCTGGTTCAGGGGTTGTGGTGAAATGTTCCTTTTAGTATCATTCAATTGAAGAATTCTCTATATTTAGGATTGCTGTCTTTATTGTTGCATAGTTTGGTGTGTCATACATACTGCCCAGGTTGCAGATTTGTAGAGAAGGGTTAAGTCCTTTTGAATTTGTTTGCAAAACTTTCTACTTGCCAGGCATTGCATAAGTTTGTCTTTGCCTCCATACATTTCTGTTTTGTTTTGTTGCAATTTATGATGCTTCTTTTCTTCCTGCAGCCATGGCTGTATATGTTGTTACAAAGTATTTCATAAGACAGTTGTCTGCAATGTGGAATGATGCTGCTTTAACTTTATTTTGAATGTTTTCTGGCTGGTTTTTAATAGATGGCTGCGTGTTCTAGTGTTTTCTAGTGTTTTTGGAAACCAAAATTGATGAGATTTATACCCCACCTTTCAATAAAATGATCCTCAAGGGAACTTTCTTTTACTAATTATATATCAAACATATGTGCTTTCAGAGAGAAACTGGTCTCTCTTTCCACTATGCTCATACTTTTGTGATGTAATTAACTGTCTTTGCCATGGTTCCTTAATTTGTCTTTCCCTGAAACTACAGTAGACCCTCGACTTACAGACGGCTCCGCTTACAGACTTTTCGAGTTACAGATTTCTCTGGCCACAAAATTTAGGTTCGACTTGCAGCCGGAGAATCGACCTACAGACCAGAAAAAACAAAACAAAAACAAAATGGAACAAAAACGGCCAGTTACGAATTAATCGGTTTTCAGTGCATTGTAGGTCAATGGAGCCTCAACCTACAGACTTTTCGACCTGCAGCCACCGTTCCAATGCGAATTAATTCCGTAAGTCGAGGGTCCACTGTACAGATTCTCAGTCCTACAAGCCTTTCTAAGGGAACAGGCTCCCATCACCTGCTCTTGTCTCCACCTTCTGCCGTTCTTTGCATAGGATCTGTGTTCATGCCTGTTTCAGGGATAGGTTGCCAGGTCTCAAGTACCAGTCATTGTCTCAAAGAATTACTGTTCTTCTCCAGTCTCCAGGTGAGGAGACAAAACTCAGGGTGCTGGAAGAGGAGACATGTGGATATTGGTGTGCTAAGTGGCTTTAAACAAGTGGTGTCGGAGGATATTGGTGTGCTAAGTGGATATTGGTGTGCTAAGTGGCTTTAAAACCTGGGGCATCCATCTATAATCGTTTCCAATGGGCACAAGGGTTCATAAGCCCAAGTGAAGGAGTGCTTGCACAACAAAAAGCTAGGAGAGACTAGCACTTATGACCCACTGTGTCATTTGAAGGAAGGCCAGGCGTAGAGCAGCAGCATTGTGACTTGTCAGATTTTTTGTTACACAAGCCCTGGATGCACATCCTGTACAGAAGAATCTCGATGTCAGCTGTGGCACTGGGAAAGGATCGTCCACTACACACCTGAGAACTGCAGATCAGTTTTAGGGCTGCAGGACAGACTATGTAGCACAGACGGTTCCAGTCCGCTAGAAGGGAAATGGCCAGGGGATTCAGAAATTAGACAATCTTGGAACTGCAGAACTGGAAGGGACCGTATCAAGCCCAGCTCTTGCCAAGAAGGCACAGTTGGGAATCAAACTCCCAACCTGTGGTTCAGCAGCCAGATATTTAAACCTCTGAACTGCCATTGCTACACTGCTGAATCTGCCATCTGACACAGTTGGTTCCTCTGCCTGTCGAAAGGCCTGCCCTGCCTGGTGCCATGAGGAAAGAAAGAGAGAAAAGGGAGAAAGGCATGTCTACCATAGATAGATGTAATTATCATGGTCTGTCAGGCCTTCAGTTCCCTGCCTTCAAAGAACTGTGCGAGTGCTAATAATACTCTTTTGGAAGTCCATTCCCACCAATTACAAGTCAAAATTTTCTGTGGTACCTTTCTTTCCAAAATCCATTTTAAGCCTTCCATGGTATTCTGGAAAGGTATCACCCTGGAATAAAAGTATCTCTCTGCTCCCTCCCCCACCATTAATCTTGTCTCTTTTTAAAAACTTTTCCCAGTCTGACACCCTAGCCCCTAAAGCTGTTGATAACATGGGCGATTGGGGAATCTCTTTGTAACAGGAAGGTTGCTTATCAAACTTCAGTCAGTGGTGTGAATTGGACTGATGGAGAAATTTTTGCTAGACGAATAGAGACCTGATGGGATAATGAATGATTTCATCAACAGGTTTTCTTGAGCATAAGACAATTTCTGTAAAACAATCTTCCCTCACTCTATGTAGAAATGGAACAGAGTTTTCTTGCAAATGGCCATATTGAGAAATGCATAGGACTTCCTGCCCTTTCCGCTTATCCTCGGACAAAAGGTTTCTATGATCTGAAGAGAAACCATTGGGCTGTAAACAATATCTGCCCCCATTTATTTAATCTCAGTATCTCCACTAGTGTGTTTACTTGTAAGGTCAACATAGAGTCAAGTCACAGGTGCAGATGTTACTGTGCCCCTTAATTCTGCTTACTGGCTGGTTCACCAAATGTATGGATTCAGCAGGGAAAGCTCATTTGCCCATAGAAGATCCTTGATCCATGAGATCAAAAGCTCCTGAAAGCAGAAATCCCCAAGAGCAGAGTTTTTCAGATAAGAGTAAACACGTATAAGCTTAATTATACATTGATTTATTTAGCGTGTTCTTCTCCTTCTCCTGCTATTTGCTTTCCTACCAGAGCTTGGACATCATCATGGCAATAGGACCTTTGGATGTGGCAGCTCTAGCCAATGAGATCTTGCACCCAAACTGCTCTTCAAAAGTTTTTCAGCCAATCGTTTCTTCTCCTTCTTGCACTTTTGTTTTTTCACTTATTTTATTGGTTGCCATGTCCCGCTAAGTTTGATGGAGCTACATGTGTTCTTTTCATGGAGGGAAAGGAGAACAATCACCTGAAACCCACAATGCCAATTACATTATATGACTGTTTTTAGTGCAGCCATGCAGGTATGCATGTTATGGAACCATGAATGGTCATGATCACAGTGCAGGTACAAATCCTGCGTAGAGTTTCCATGTGTTTTATGTTGCTGCTATGTAGAAAATATGAAATCTTAAAAGCAAGCTGTGCTTGCCAGTTAATATACTTAGCCTTGCACACTTGGACCGATTTTCTGGACTTAACTAAACTGGAATTCCCCCAGTTGAGGATTATGCTCTTTGGAGAGCCAAAACCTTTGAAAATCAACAGGCTCAAAATGAGATAGGTATATTGGACAATTCAGTTGGCTTTTGCTTTACTTTTCGACTCTGTATTCTCTTTTGTTGCCCAAGCCATACATAAGGGTAGAAGGCTTGTGAAAAGCTTCTTCTGAGAAAAGAGGGTAAGAATGGGCAGTTAATGATTTCCAAAGCAATAAAAGAGGCTGCTGTTCCAGCAAACCGTCTTATTGTATGAGTATGCTACAAACTGCAAGGAGAAAACTGCCATTTTCCGGTTTGTGTATTATATTAAAAGCTAT